AAGTAGCCGGAATACAGGCATGCGCTACCATGCCCGGCTGATTTTTGGTTTATTGTAGAGACGAGCTCTCGCTGCCCAGGCGGGTCTCAAACCCGCGGGCTCAGGCAATCCACTCACCTCAGCCTCCCAAAGGCGCAGGATTACAGGCTGAGCCACCGAGCCTGGCCCCATTTTGTAATTTTTAAAACAGTTTTGAGATGGTGGTCTCAGTCTGTCACCCAGACTAGAGTTCAGTGGTATAATCATGGTCCCCTGCAGTCTCGACCTCCTGAGCTCAAGCTATCCTCCCACCTCAGCTTCCCAAGTAGTTGGAGGCATGTGTCGCCATGCTCAGCTAATTTTTATTTTTATTTTTATTTTTGTAGAGATGGCTTCCTGCTATCTTGCCCAGGCTGGTCTCTAGCTCTTGGCCTCAAGTGATCCTTGTACCTTGGTTTTCCAAAGTGCTGGGATTACAGGCGTGAACCAGCACACCTAGTCTGTAATTTATCTTTTAATAAACTTCTAAAAATTTTTGTAATTGTGGCATTTGAAAAATCCAGAAAGTCACAAAGAAAAAAAGAATTACCGAAAGCTAACCACTGTTAATATTTGGAATATACACATACATATATATAAATTAAAATTATATTCTATAAACAGTTTTTCGATGAGAATAACATTTTTAGGGTGAAGTAGTAAATGTTTTTTATAAAATACATATACTTTTATGCATTCATGCACTACAAAAAGGGGTAAAGAATTTATTGATATTTACCCACAATCCTAAAACCTAGAGATTTCAATGTGTATATATATTATTAGTCAAGTTTTATTTCACATTAATTTATATCAAGTTAGTTTACATTAATCGTTTAGTGGTTGATTTGAACTTTTTTTTTTTTTTTTTGAGGTCTCACTCTGTTACCCAGGCCAGAGGGCAGTGGCATGAAACAGCCTCAACCTCCTGGGCTCTGGTGATCCTCCTACTTCAGCCTCTCAAGTAGCTGGGACTGTAGTCACACACAACCATGCCCAGCAAATTTCTTTGTTTTTTTTGTAGAGATGAGATCTTGCTATGTTGCCCAGCTGGTCTCGAACTCTTGGGCTCAAGTGGATTCTCCTGCCTAGGCCTCCAAAAGTGCTGGGATTACAGGTGTGAGCCATCACGCCCGACTTTGAAAATCTTTGTATTTAAGAATTAACATTTTTTTCTTTGACCTGTCTCTGTTTCTGTAGCCAGGCATGGCGGCACACGCCTGTAGTTCCAGCTACTTGGAAGGTTGAGATGGGAGGACTGCCTAAGCTGAGCGGGTTGAGGCTGCAGTGGCCAAAGGTGTACTACTGCACCTCAGCCTGAGTGTCAGAGTGAGACTCTGACTCAGAAAATAGATAAATAAAAATAACCAAAGGAGAATTGATAGCCCTATGATGTTGACTCTTACTGTCCAGGAATAAGGTGTACTGTTCCAATGACTTAAGTCTCTTTGTTCTTCAAATAGTATTTTTTTTTTTTTTGAGTCAGAGTCTCACTCTATTGCCCAGGCTGAGTGCAGTGGCATGCTCATGGCCACTGCCTCCTTAAACTGCTGGACTCAGGCCATCCTCCCATCTCAGCCTTCTAAGTAGCTGGAACTACAGGTGTGCACCACCACGCCTGGCTAATTTTTTGATTTATTGTAGAGATGAGGTCTTGCCACGTTGCCCAAGCTGGTTTCAGACTAGGTTTTGCTAAGTTGCCCAGGTTGGTCTCCAACCCTTGGGCTCAGGCAGTCCTCTCACTTTGGCCTCCCAAAGCACTGGGATTACAGGCATGAGCCACCATACCTAGCCTGAATCCTAGTTTTTAAAACACAAAGTCATACATAAATGAGACAGTCTTTCACTCCTAATAATTAGTCTGTTTTCTACTGTTAACTGCCTTTATTGTCATTTTACATTTCCTCTCTGAGTCTTGGTTTCTTCATATATAAGCTGAAAAGAAGAATCTGGAACAGATCTTACCTGAAGTTTTTCTTCCAGCTCTGCCCCTGTTGTTTCTGGTGTGATTAACTTCCTAGATGCCTTGTATCTGCCCAGGGGAAAGCTGTCTTGATATTGAGACCTATCTGACTCTAAATGGTTAAGGATTGTCTGAGCTTTGAATTTCTAGTCCCTTGTGGCCAGGCTCATATGTCACCATTAAGTTCATGTCAGAAAGCTTCCAGGTCATGTCCACCTTCCAGGACTGATCTGTTTGGTTGAGTGGTTAGAGGTATAGGGGCCTCATTTGGAATTGCTGGAAATGCCCTCATATCTCCTTGGGAGTCTTTCCTCTCCGTTCCCCCCTCTGGACCCTTAGTTGTAAGACTTTCTGTCCTCAGATTATCCTCGTGTCTCCCAGTGCAGCCTCATTGTTAACTCTCTTCCCTTTCCCTGTCTGACTCCTGGCCTTCTCTTCTCCCACAGCCCCCCAGTCCTCAGGGAAGGAAGTGGAGCCTACAGATGAAAAGAACTAGCTTTATAATTAGCTAGGCTTGTGTTTTGATCCACCTTTGTCTCTCGCTAGTTGTGCGATCTTTGATAAGGTTGAGAGAGAATAAATACAAAGTGCGAGCACGTGATTACTCCAGGGAGGGCTTAGTGAATTGTCTTGTCCCATAGTAGGTAGTGATAGTAGCTTAATATGCAAAGTTGTGTGTTGAACTCTGTGAGAGAAGCTTTTATACATGACCCATTGAATCCTTACAAACAACCCCGGGGGAGGGAAGGAATATTACCATTTTGCATGTGGAGAAACTGAAGACCAGAGAGAAGTGATGTATGCAAAGACACACAGCTGATGAATATCTGAGCCATAATTCAAACTCACCTTTTTGTCACTCCAGGTTAGCCTTTCTCTAAGGATTTGAACAATTTTCACTGACCTCCATAGAGTGATCAGCAAAGTGCAAGCCTCTAGAAAATAGCCATTATTCTGAGATTAGCACTACTTAATAGATGTAAATGTTCTTGATCTAAGCTGTCCAGTATAGTAGCCACTTGCCTCATGTGGCTATTAAGCACTTAAGCTGTGACTAATGAGACTGAGGAACTGAATTTTTAGCCTGTTAATTTCAGTGTATAGCCCCAAGTGGCTATTGCAGCCATCGACAGTGCGTTCCAGAAGTGAGACTGCAGCTCAGTTTCATGTTAGTTAGGAGAGAGTATGCCTTCCTCCCATCTCCTTCTGCCCTCCCCCACCCTTCCCTCTTACCCCCAAGCAGGCAGGTCTTACTTTTGGATGGAGGACAACTTCTGAGTTTAATTTTTGTTGCTTCTTTAATTCTAACAGTGTGAAGAGTGCCAGTGCTGGCAGCATGGGGTCTGCATGGGATTACTGGAAGAAAATGTGCCCGAGAAATACACCTGTTATGTTTGCCAAGATCCTCCAGGTAGAGATTTCTGGAGTCAGGGATACAACAGTATGTAGCTTTTTCCTAGGCACAGCTGGCTGTGAAACAACCTAAGTGTATGTGGTCTTGAGACTCGTTTCTTCAGCATTAGCTAGACTCTGACTCCCCCTCGCCTCTGTTGCTGGCCTGAACTTAGCAGTACGAGTGTGGAAGGCCTGACCTGTGCTAGCACATTCCCTTTTCTTATTATGGTAAAAGACATGTGAGATCTAACCTCTTAACAGAATGTTTAAGTCTGCAGGACAGTATTGTTATCCATAAGGTAAATACTGTACAGCATATCTCTAGAACTTTCATCCTGCATGACTTTAGCTCTCTATATAGAACATTTCACAAATGTGAGTGTCATCCTTGTGCAGGAGCCATGCCTGTCTTCTCTGGATTGTTCCAATCTCAGTATATGTGCTGCTGAAGTGGCACCTTTTTCTTTTCTTGTGAGCTCATGAGGTTAGGCATGTGGGTGTGTCCTTGGCTTTTGGGGACTGTTGGAGGGTTAGAAACCTGCCTCTGCTCCCTGTGGCAACATCTGTCTTCTGTGGCATCACTGCCACCTGGAAGGGAGATATGCCCCAAGAGAAAGGAGATGTTTGTGTAGAGCCTTTTGCCATCCTCAGCAGTGACTTAGGTTTTTAGCAGGGTCGGTTACTTCCATGACTACAGAGATCACCTGTGGCTCTTGGATGCTCCTTTCTAGAAGCATCCACCTTTTCTAGAAGAGGTAGATTATAAATCTGTGGTTCTTGTCTTGGTGTCAGTAGGATGGTGACATGATCTCCCATCACCAGTGGTGGGGTCCCTCCCTCAGCTCCAGTCCCCGATTTCCTTACAGCTAAACAATGCTTGAGCGCCTCTTACTTGTTATTCCTTTTTGTCAAATAAGTTGGGCCTGGTAGGAGCTCTTACTCCCATTTTTGCTTATGAGGAAGAAATTGATGACCAGAGGACACAAATGACTTTCCTAACCTCATAAAACAAATTGGAATTAGAATTGGCTTGCATGGCTAAATCCTTTGATTTTGCTGGTTGTATAGGGAGAAACTGGCCACCACATCCATTTTCAAGCAAGCAGGTCCCTTTGGGCCTGTTGACCCCTGTTGTGACCTTGTACTACATTAGTCCATAGAGAAGCATCTACCTCTGTTTGTCCCTTTGTCCCAAGGAAAGAATGTGGTCAGAAGATTAGACTGGTGAGCAAACATAGGCCCTGAAGGGAGATGACTGGCCCAAGATCACTCTACCAGTTGATTCCACACAGGTGATGAGAACCCATTGTCTCTGATCTTTATCTTGTGAAACAGGTATTGCTACTCTGAATCCTGCTGTTATGGCTATTGTTTGCAGCAGCTACTGCTGAGCCACCCTTTCCCCCCATAATCCTGAGGGCTCCTTAAGGGCACCTTGTAAAAATATTCTTTATTTCCCATGTCTTTCTCTCCATTTTTTGCTCTTTAGACATCACCCACACCATCTATATCAAATCCTGTGTACTTTCTGAACTTCTGCTTTAATTATCAAGTCTGTGAATAGACTCTTTCTTGAACTGAGTACTGAATTTTTGCCGCGGGGTTTGCATTTATAGACTGTTTAACTCTGCAATAGATTGGCCCAAAAGTTTGACAGGTTCATTTTTTAAAGGTTACTTTAGAATATTTTTAATAGAATCAGTGTATATCCCTACCATGTGCATTGACAAAGCCAGAAAGAGCCCAAAGTTCTTGATAGGAATTACCTAGTTGTTTAAGGTTTTTTTAGCTACTGACAGGTGAACAGCAGTCTGTTTGGAAGCTTTTCTCTGGACCTTTAGAGCAGGGAATGCTGCCATGTCACCGTGTACTTATGTTTTCAGTCCTTCCTAAGCCCTGTAAGGATCGGGATCACTAAAGCATTCAGTTCCTCTGTTGTAACAAATGGGAAGCAGAGGTCCAGAGAAGGGAGGGAGGCCTGATCAGTTAGGTGGTCAATGATGTATTTGCAGGGGGACTTGCAGCTTCTTTCTATTGTTTTGATAATTCTGTTCAAGATGCCTTTTGCTAGGCACTGGGGATAAAACCATGAACAAGATGGTTCCCACTCTTTAGCGGGGTTGGGGGTCAGAAACAGATGTTAAAGCAAGTTAAAAAAATAAGAATGTGTTAGGTAGCGATGAATACTGTGGAGTGGACAAGTGACTGTAGAGGCCCTGATGAGGCTCTCAACTTTGGGGAGGCAACTGAGGCCTCTCTGAGAAGGTAGTAAGGGAGTCAGCCCTGCAAAGGCCTTGGAAAACAGTGCTCCAGACAGGGGGTGCCAGAGCAGAGAGCCTAAGACTGGAGAGAGTTTGATGTGTTCCAGAAACTGAAAGGAGGCCACCGTAAGGGTGTGGAGAGGAAGGCAGGAGGGAGCTTAAGTCCTGTGGGCCTCATTAAGCCAGAATGACGGCTTTGAGTTTTCTTTTGTGGGCAGTAGGAGGCAGTGGAAGGTTTCAAGTAGGGGGGAGAGAATCCAGGTTCCCAGCCCACTTCCAGGAAATCAGGAAGTGTACATGCCTTTTTCACTACCTTATCCCTAGCACTTAGTATGGAGCCCAGCATGCAGTATAGTAAGTACCAAGCAGATGAATAAGTGAACAGGATGAATATATAGATCCATTCTTCCAAGAGTTTGTGTGCAAACTGTTGATGAAACAGCTTGGGTTTCCTTCAGGCCATGTTTTGTTTTGTTTTGTTTTAAAGTTAAGAAAGCAGGACTTATTGAGAGGATAGAAAAGCTCCCAGAGCAGGAGGGGACCAGAGGCGCTTTGCCCCAGGCAATGTTTTAACCCTCTTGTCACTGCTTTAGGTCAGAGGCCTGGCTTCAAGTACTGGTATGACAAGGAGTGGCTGAGCAGGGGACACATGCATGGCTTGGCATTTCTAGAAGAGAACTACTCCCATCAGAATGCCAAGAAGATTGTGGCCACCCACCAGCTTCTTGGCGATGTTCAGAGAGTGATCGAGGTTCTGCATGGCCTGCAGCTCAAGATGAGCATCTTGCAGTAAGTATGGTACTTATAGCTAGGGGGAGGAGTCTGGTTTTTCATGGCCTGGGAGAAGAATAAATTTGAGAAATTGGAAAGCCACAAAATCAATCTATTAGACTGATAACTTTGAGACCATTACTAAAAATTCTCAGATGATAAGCATTCTTTTCAAATCAACTTTACTGTGGAATATTTTACATGTAATTAAGCTCATCTATTTTAGGAGTTCATTGAACTGGGCTCAGTGGCTCAGTTTGTAATCCCAGCACTTTAGGAGGCCGAGGTTAGTGGATTGCCTGAGACCGTGGGTTCGAGACCAGTCCAGGCATCTTGGTGAGACCTCATCTCTACAATAAATAAAAAATTAGCCAGGCGTGGTAGTGCGTACCTGTAGTTCCAGTTACTTTGAAGGCTGAGGTGGATGGATCGCTGGAGCCCAGCAAGTCAATGTTGGGGTGGCCGGGAGCGTGCCTCTGCACTCCAGCCTGGGCAACAGAGTGAGACTCCAACTCAAAAGAAAAAAAAAAAGAGTTCATTGAATTATTTTATTTTTTTGAGTTGGAGCCTCACTCTGTCACCCAGGCTGGAGTGCAGTGGTACACTCACGGCCACCGCAGCCTTGACCTGCTGGTCACAGGCAATCCTTCTGCCTCAGCCTTCCAAGTAGCTGGAACTACAGGCATGCGCTACCAGACCGGCTAATTTTTTTTTATTTACTGTAGAGACAAGGTCTTGCCAAGTTGCCCAGGCTGGTCTCAAACCCCTGGTCTCAAGCAGTCCTCTCACCTCTGCCTCCCAAAGCGCTGGGATTACAGACTTGAACCACCACGCCTGGTCTTTTCTTAAATTTTAAGTTGAGGTCTCACTCTGTTGTCCAGGTTGGAGTGCAATAGCATCATCATGGCTTATTAGAGCCTCGACCTCCTGGGCTAAAGGTAATCTTTCCACGTTAGCCTCCCAAGTAGCTGGGACTATAGGCTGTGCCTTAGCGCCCAGCTAATTTTAAAATTTTTTTGTAAAGATGAGATCTTGCTATGTTGCCCAGGCTGGTCTTGAACTCTTGGGCTCAAGTGCTTCTCCCACCTCGGCCTCCCATAGTGCTAGGATTACAGGTGTGAGCTACCACACCTGGCCTCATTGAGATTTGATGTATGTGTGCACCCATGCAATCATCACCAGAATCAAGGTATGGTGTGTATAGTTTGGTTTGATTTTTGTTTTGGTATACAGTTCTGAGTTTTTAAATTTGTTTTTAATTGTGGTAGAATACACATAATATAAAATTTATTATCTTAACCATTTTTAAGTATACAGTTCTGTACTGTTAAGTCACTTACAATCTCTAAAATTCTTTTCATCTTTCAAAACTGAAACTCTATACCTATTAACCAATAATCTCCTCTCTCCTTCCCAGTCCCTGGCAATCACTATTCTACTTTATGACTCTATGCATTTGACTTCTCTAGAGACCTTGTATAAGTGGAATCATATGATATTTGTCTTTTTGTGAATGACTTATTACATTGTAATACCCTCAGGGTTCATTCATATTATAATGTATGTCAGAATTTCTGTCCCCTTTAAGGCTGAATAATATTCTGTTGTACGTGTATATGCCACATTTTATTTATCTTTTTATCTTTCCTAAACATTTTTTTAAAAAGAAGCAGGTTTAGCTGGACTCGGTGGCTCAGCCTGTAATCTCACGCCTTGGGAGGCTGAAGTGAGTGGATTGCCTGAGCCCGTGGGTTCAAGACCCGCCTGGGCAACTTGGTGAGACCTCATCTCTACAATAAATCAAAAAATTAGCCGGGGGTGGTAGCGCGCACCTGTAGTTCCAGCTACTTGGAAGGCTGAGGCGGAAAGATTGCCAGAG